TCTCATATATTCATATATTATGTATGTGCTTAATTATTGTTAAAAAAAATGACTTGTGTAGACTTTTGTGATGTATTTTCTAACCATTTCGTGCATCTAGTAAATATATTATTCATACAATATTGATATTGTTCATCCTAAAGTATCGACGATGTTCTTACAGTACTAATATTGTTCTTAAACGATATGGATGTGTTTTTACAATACCGATATTGTTCTTGGTGTATCAATATGACACATATACTATAATATCAATACCATTCCTTTTAAGTTGTGTAGTATCAGTACTCCTCGAGGAGTAACAATATTCCTAGTTGGATTTTAACTTATATTAAATAAAATTCCTAATTTTTCTCTTCTTATTCAAATCCTGAAACTCACACCCATTGCAAAACCTCTCAAACCCTTTTTTTTTGGTTTTGGGTTGATTTCTTGTCGGATTTCAACTCTTCACCATGCATTCATCATCAAATTGTGATGTATTCACCATTCATCTCATTTCAACGATTCAAGGTAAAAAATATTTCAAACCCCATTTTTTAACTTTCAAATTTAGTCTTTTAGGTGTTAAATTGATGCTAAATAACTATTGGGCTCTAGCTTTTATGTATTTTAGTACAAAAATTAATACATATATCATTTCAATTTCATCTCAATTTCAAGAATTTCAAAAACCATAAATTTTCAAATTTGGAAATTTCTTCTAACTTGGTTCAATCTTTGTTGTTCCATTATATATATATATAGGGGTGTTTAAAACCGGGTACATGAGATTATCAATATCAAACTGTCAGTATGTGTCTTGGCCTGTTAAGTCTGGGTACCCATAAATTGGGTAACCGTAAAACTTGAGTACCCACATTTCCGGGTCACGGTACATGATTCATATTTTTTAATTTATTTTTATTTAAATTATATTATATTTAAAAAAATGACATAAAAAATGTAAAATGTAAAAATTAAAAATCTATAATACATAATCCACACATAAAAATTACATAATTGAAAGATAAAATTTAGTAAAAATTTAAAATAAAAAATACAATTAAACTTAAAATATTTTAAAGTTAAAATAAATATTTTAAAAAAAATTAGAATGGTAAGGTGAAATAATTTAAGAAAATAAGAGTTTAGAATGTTATGGTGAAATAATTTAAGAAACTAAGAATTTAAAATGTTATGGTAAAATAATTTTATAAATTAGGAATTTAAAATGTTAGAGTGAAATAATTTGAGGATTAGGAATAAAAAATCTAATATAAAATAAAAATAAAAATATATAAGAAATCGGATACCGGATCGACAGGTACCCGATTAGACATTATTTTATGACCCATTCCCAGCCTGGAAACCCGCCAAAAATAGTGGGTCGGGTACCCAACTCAGAAATTATAATATTTTCACTATAAATACTAGATAATGTTGGACCAGTTCGACGAGTCAACAAGCTAAATCATCCGAGTCGAATATTTTTAAACACATGTATATATATCCATATTGTTCTCTTCTAAATCATTACATATATATATATATATATATACACGTTATGTATCTATTTACACGTTTTATGACCTTTATATATAATCTTTCGTATTCTTGTTCTTATATATAGAGAGAGAGACACGGGTTAGGATCCACTTATACCTAGTGTAAAACTTTTAGTTTTACACATTTTTATAATCGTTGGATGAGGAGAAATTAAATGCTAAGATTAAGTCCTTATTTTTTTCCAGTGAATATTATCACATTTCCTACCGTTAATCCCAGCCTTTGATTTCCCTCATCCAATGATCTTAAAAAGGTGTAAAACTTTAAAGTTTTACCCTATGTAATTAGATTCTAACCTTATATATATATATATATCACTAATATATCTACTGTTTATTTATATATATTCTGGTATATATATACCTACTGCCTTTTGTATTTATATATATATATATACTATTTTCATATATATATATATATATATATGTATATTTCACTAATATACCTACTGTTTATATATATATATTATTGTATATATATACCTACTGCTTTTTTATTTATATATATATATTTATATACTATATATATATATATATATTTCACTAATATACCTACTGTTTATATATATATATATATATATATATTCTGGTGTATATATATATACCTACTGCTGTTTGTATTTATATAAATATTTATATACTATTTTCATATATGGGATATGCACTATTATATATTGGTTTTTGTACTTTATATAGCTTTCAACCTTGAGCCCACTTCCTTACTCTTATACCTTGATTTGTTGACATTCATTAAGAATTAAGAATCGATGAAAAGCATACATTTATCTTAGTTTCTTTTACAGGTTCTTTAATCCCGTTTTCCAAATGCCTAAACGTACTAGAACCTCTTTTTTCCGGGTCAATCCAAATTCTATCTCTAATCTTAATCCAAATAATTTTATTATTCGAAACCTATGTTCCAATGAATCCGGTCGTCAAAGCTTCTTCTCCCTCTAGTCAATCCATTTTGAGATCTATCCTCTTCATAGCGAGAAGATACCATCTATACAAGTTATAGTTGAGCTTAACTTCAAATACCTTGACCGCATAAAATTTTGGAATCTACATAATACCTTGAAAGTCAAATCGGTCGTCTATCAAACATTGGTACAGATTTTCTACTCTAATACCGTTTGCATGCAAAATGAAGCATGAGACCAAACAGTAAGCATTAGGTCTTTTCGCATGGGTCGATACATCACCATTAATGTTTCTTCCATTGCTTTCGAATTTAGCGCCTAAACTTAAAAAAAACAATTTAGCCATCAAACATGACCAAAATATCAATTTAGCTCATATGTTATGTCATCAATTATTATGAACCACCACATCAACATTGTGAATCATCACATCATCACCCTGATAAAAAAACCACATTAAATTTATTTTTTGAGTTACAAGATAATATTAAGTAAAAAATAATTCGAGATTCACTTCAATTTTTTTTTAAAGTTAAAAACCCTCATGCATTTTTGCCATATTTTAAAAACAAGGGTAAACTATATCATATACCATCAAACTTTAGGTGTTGTATCATTGAACTTTCAATTTTGCTAATTATAACATTGGACTTTGATTTTCGTTTCAATTATACCTCTAAACCATTATATCGTTAACGACACGATGACGTGATTGACGACTGCTACGTGACTAACAGTTGCCGAAGTAGACACCTCACCAAAATGATGTTGTTTTGATCCGACTGTTAACGATTTAACGGTCTAGTGGTATAATTGAAACGGAAATCAAAGTTCGATTCTATAATTGATTAAATTAAAAGTTCAGTAATATAAATAATACAAAGATTAAAGTTCAGGGTATCTAGTATAATTTACCCTAAAAACAATACTAAACATGACTTTAGTATACTAAAAATTTTGAAACTACAAGATTGTGATAGAGTTGGGATGGTAAAAAAACCCGAACCTGACAGGAAAAATCGAAAACTGAATTAACGGGGACATGGAAAAACCGTTTATGCTAAACGGGGACGAGGACGAGTTTGGTAATCCCCGTCCCGATTACCCGATTACCCGGCCCGATAAATATTAAAAATAATAATTATATATATATATATATATATAATATTAATAAATTTAATTTAAATTAATATATATATATAATATTTATATATTTAATTTAAATATATACATATCTGGCCCGATACCCGACCTGATACCCGTTTAAATAACTGTTTATTCTAAACGGGAATACCCGTTTCCCCGCGGTTTTCCCCGATTACCCGATGGGGATCCCCGTTTAAATCCCCACGATTTTTTAAGCGAAGACGAGTACGGATTTTTTAAACGGGGACGGGAAAACTAATACCCGACCCGAACCCGGCCTGTTGCCATCCCTACTTACTGCACTCAATCAAACATAAAATCAAATCAATTTCTCTTGTCCCCAACTCCATTTATTTATTTCTATAAACTGTTAATAATAATATGTTTTATTAACGGATATAATATAATATAATAATATAATATAATATAATATAATATAATATAATATAATATAATATAATATAATATAATATAATATAATATAATATAATATAATAATATAATATAATATAATATAATATAATATAATATAATATAATATAATTTCTTTAGGCACAAATCGTATTTTGAGGTATAACGTACGCACTAAAAAGTATATTAAGCTTTCTATTTTTTAAATGACGGGTACCAAATTGAAATCTAAACTAAACATTAGGAACAAATAAAATAAAGTTTAGGTATCAAATAGATAATTTTACTCTTAATGAATATTGAACTCACAATCTAAAAAAGAATTTAAGGTGTCAACTGAGAACTTTTAACCGTATACTCTCGAGATTATTGAAATATGTTAGAATTTTTTAAATTAATATTATTAGAATAAATAATTAATAACGAACACACACCTTAAAATAAAGATAATTAAAAAAATTACATTCCCAACACACTTTCATAACCATCGTACTTTTCCTCTTAATAATAGAAAAGGGTAAACTATATGATTAATTTATACTGTCAATTCTGATTTATTTTAATACTTAAATTTTTATTTTATAAATCATACTTAATATTTAATTTTGTTTCGTTTTAATATTTTGTAGTTTAAAACTTAACGTGTTTAATATTTAAACAATTAGTTTTAGTTCATTTTAGTACCCAAGCTTTCAAAAAAAAATTCAAAACTTAACATTAAATTTTTAATGTAGGTACTAAAATGAAATAAAAAATAAATATTAAATATGATTTAAAAAAATAAAAATTTAAATATTAAAACGGATTAAAATTAATAGTTTAGTTAGCAAACGTATATTATACCTTTGAGAAAAATCAAAAATAAAAAAATAATAGAAGAATAGCTATCATGCGCCGCCGGTGTAACTCGCTCTACCATTCACTTCAAATAACTCCATCCAGATATAGAACTCTATTCTTTTTATTCCCATATTTATTTCCCTTTTTTTCACACATTTTCTAATTATAATTTATCTCTGATTTTTGGCTCCCAATTTTCAATTCCTCACCGATTCATTTCTACGCCACCCACGGCCGATCCCGCCGGCGCCTGCGATTTAATTCCCTGGGTTTCTTCTTCTACTGGCCAGATCCGCTTAATTGCATCAGGTAAACTCCCAGCCGCCTTTTCTTTTTTCGTTTTTAATCCGAGTTCCTGTTTGTTTCCCGAGAAAAATAAAAAGGAGGACAAATGAAGCAAAAAGGAGTTTTCAATTTGAACTGTTCACTGCCAACATTTTTTCTTGTTCCGTTTTCCTTATTGCTTTCAATTTCAATCAAACAGAAAGCATTACTTTGAGCCGATCCTTGTTACTTTAACTGGAGACAGATCTTAAATCATTATAAAACGAATTTAATTTTTATTATCGACTTTAATGTTCTTGATAATTTTTTTATCTTTATTCAATAATGTTACTCTGTTTCTTGATTTTGGCATTTTTGTGTTAAATTTGGCTGAAGTAATGTTACTGGATTTTTTAAAAAATAAAATTATAGATCTTAATTTTGCGTGCCTTGATGAGGAGGTGACCATGTTGATAATCATTTCAGTTTTTGGGAACAAAGTAGTTATTATGTCTGCAATGAGTTTCGGTTACTTAGGATTCACTTCATTAGTAAACTATAAATAGAATTTAAGATCATTCATTGATGTTAAAATTTCATTATTTGGAAAGCTTGATAATTTCACTGACTGAGACATATTGGTGGATGAAGTTAGGGGTAGTTTGGTTCTGTTTGTTGTGACCAAAGGAGTGTCGAAAAGAGAAACGAAAAAAAATAGAGGTGTTGTCTGGGTGCCCCAGATGAGAACTGATGTTATTGACAGTAGAAGGAGGAGGATTCTTCTCTTCTTCAGCGTCTGGGTATAGCAAGGGCTTGGCCCTTCTTCTCTTGGGTCAGAAGCACGAGGACAAGTCCATGAGAGTTTCACCGTGGAACCATTACCAGTTGGTAGACCGAGAACCTGACCCTGACCTCCAACTGGCTTCCATCAAGAATCGGCTTCCCCGTGGGTGCGCCTCTTTTGTCTTCTTTTGTCGCACTTCCGCAGGGCTTGAAACACCATCGCTTTTGAAAGTTGGTCCTGTTCAACAGCAGGATGTCTTGCCGGACTCTTTTGTTGCAGATAAGGGTAGTGATCAAGCAAATGAGCTTGAAGATGGCAATATCAATGTAAGAAAGGTTGTTTTGAAAAGTAGTTTGAAGAAGCAATTAAATAGTGCTCATGTTTATCGTGAGGCATTGGGGGAAAAGGATGGCGATAACCCGAGTCATACAGAACTAAGAAAGGTGCTCTGGACTGATGCTTATGGTTGTGAGCTTGCTGAAATCAGGGAATTTGAGCCCAGGTACACGAAATTTGTCTTCTAAATTAAAGTTTTATAAGCAATGCGGTACAATTTCCAAACATATTTTAAGTTTGTCTTTACGCTATTTGCAACATGTTAATTTGCCCCATGAATTTAAGTAATATCATGTCCCCATGAATTTATTCTTGCTGGGTAAACTAAAGTTTTTTTTTTTTGCAAGCCATATTGATCACGTTGCCATGGCACTCTTCGCACAAAATTGGGATATAGCTGACTTTTTTTTGGGTTTGATTTATAGTCTATAAAGATGTGAATAGGTAAATGCGATCAAATCACATGCGTAGATCTGATTTTAGAGCATTGTCTCTCAAGATCTTGTTCATGTGACAATCTATCTGTTTGGAAAAAAATGTAAGTTGTGGTATAAATGTGTCAGTATAACTAGCATACATCTATGAATTTTGTAAGGTGTTTGAGTACTTTCTTTGATATAATTTGAATGGTTGCTGTCTTCACAAGAAATTACTGCAAAAATGGTAGATAATGTATTAGGTTTACCCCGCTCAAATGCTTTTGGTGTATTTTTTTATTTGAATTAGGTATTTTTCAAATCCCCATGTTTTCTGCACAATGATAGCCTAATAGGAGGAGATACATATAGCATAGATACTAATAAAAGTAGTTCGGCGAAGAATTATATCTACAACTTGTTTATCTGATTGGTTCATTATCCTTGAGATAATTCCAGGTTGGTCATTTCTTGGATGGTTCAATGTTTTGTTGCTTATTTTATTAAATGTTCTTATATTCTCCTTTCTTGTTCAATTTTTCTTCACTGATATTGGGCCTTCGTCTAATGTCAGTGAAACGGGTGGATCAGATGATGAATTCGGTAACGAGTCGAAAAAACTTGTGCATGTGCGATTATGTAGTTCGGCCGTTATTTCGAGCTCCAATGATGTCATCAGGTAAAAATAGCTTGCTAACAAAATTTAATCTTTATGCTGGAATTGTTGAGTTGATTTATGGGAAAAGAAAAGCAAGTGTTTTTTAGTGGGGCCAACTTAGTTGGACATCTTTTGTGTCTATATGTAGTATATATATATTATTTGAGATTTCAATTTTGTCATCTTCACTTAATTTTTCTTCTATCATGATTATGATTGTTATTCTTTTTGCATGACTCTGTTGTTGTCCATTATTTCTTGGTAATTAATGTGTTTTTATATACAATAAGTTCAATCATGTCCTTAAAAAGGAACTTGATGCTTCTCCTGGTTATAAACATAGCGCTGGGTTTGTGATAGCAAAGTTAGGCTGAATGATTGTGAATTGATTAACTTGAATAATTCTAGCTTAAATGCAATGGCCGATCTAGAAATTAAAAAATGGGGATTCAAAATTTTAATGCTCATATTCTAAAATATTTGGGTATGCAATTTTTTTATTTTTTTCTATTTTCATTAATAAGACCAAAATTTAACATTTTTATCAAAATAATGGGTGTGCAGTGACTCCCTTAGGGAGCCAAATGCATCCGCCCCTGCTTAAATGTTTTTATATTTATTTTTATATATAAATTAAATAATATTAATATAAAAATTATTTTTATATTTGTTTTTATTCAATAACTTAGCTAATAGTTTTCAAACCCTTAAATCAAATACTATTGCATATTTAATTGTTGTTTGAACCAACAACATATAATAATGAAAATTGATTTATTATTAAATATTTTTAACATTAATTGTTAAATATTTAATGTTGCAATAATAATGATGCAATAATAAGATTCAATTAGTCTTTTATATCTATTATTAAATATTTATTCAATTGACAGTTGAAATAGCTTGGAGATCATGAGTTTAGGATTTAAGTGCGCACTAATCTTTGATTATTTTAGGATTCAAGGTTACAAGTAATTTAAATATTTGTATAAAGAAATTAAAATGTGTTCTATATTAATGAACTTTTAATTTATTTAGAATTTTATTATTTTACTTTTATTGGTAAGAATTTAGTCCAAATTTGTCGATTTGAAAATTTAAGTTTCATTCTTAATACCATAAAAACAAAAATGTTATTTTTATTGATATGAAGTTATAAAATAACAAAAAAGGAAAAGAAAAAGAAAATTTTAAATAAGATAAATATAAACAAAATTCAAATATTCTTTGAAGTAAAAGTATCTACATTTTATTTGAGTGGTGCTTTAGAGAAGATAGAGACAAATGTTTTAGTATTTGGTTGGTGAAAAATAGATGATCAATGTAATTCATTTTACTGGTTAATAGATTTTCCTTTGAATTTTTGGAAAAATAATTTATTGTCTAATTTTCGTAAGTTATTTTATGAACTTTTCACTTTAAAATATAAATACTAAAAATAATATAATCTTATGTCTTTAATATTAATATAATATTTTAGTATTATTTCAATAAAAATATAAAATATTAAAATATATTTATTAATAATTTTAATAATATAATACAAAATTTTCAATTTTATAATAATATATGATATGATATTATAATAATATATGATATTATACCTTAATTTCATTTATTAATTTCATAAAATAATATTAGTAAATTATTAAATATTTAAAATATATTTATTAATAATTTTTTGAATAATATTATAATGTTAAATAAATTATTATAAAATTTTAAAAAATAATATTAATAATTTTTTAATAAATAATATTATTTATTATATTTGATATTATAATAAATAATTTTAAAAAAGTTTATCAACCATTGAAAAATGTTTTACACAATATCATCCAAACATCGAAAAATGATTTTTGAAAATTGTTTCTAAGAAATGTAATTCATTATACGAAAATCATTTTCCAAAATCAATTTTTCGAAATAGATCTGGATTGGACTCTTTTATTTTATACCTAGAGACGGACACATAAATTTATGTTAGAGGTGAGACCTTAAGATATTATATTAGAAATTTATGGGTGTAAAATTATAAAATGTCATGAGTACAAAATTAGATAATAAGTAAAAAAAACATAAAATATAAAAAATTAAAATTTTTAAGATGTGTGACCGCATCTTAGCAACTCATCTAACTTAAAGTGTCAGTTGTTCACTGTATTCTTTGTACAACTTGATCATTAAATTATAAGAAGCTGTATCAAAAATTTTCCATGTCGGCCCTCAATCCCTTCTGTTTTGGTCTCATTTGAAAGTCGGTAGTTATATGGTACAACCTAATAATTTAAGGTTAAAAAACCGTAGAAATAAGTATGATAAAATGTTATAAAGAAATATAATATTTTAGATTAGAGACAATCTAAAATATTATAGTCTTCATAATACTTTTAGTTGAATCTAAAATGTTTTACATTCTCCATAATATTTTCGGTTGACAATTGAAAATGTTATAAAGAAGAGAACATTTTAAATTGAGTCTAACCTAAACTGTTATATTTTTGATAATATTTTTTAGAGAAAATCGCCTCAGTGACCAAAAATGCCTTATAATATACGATTTTAACCAACTTTTTTTGGATTTGCCAAAATGACCAACAAAATCGCAACGCGAAATAAAAATCGCAACGCGATCCCCAGAATCGCAAATCAGTTTCCAAAATCGCAACGCGATTCTTAAAAATCGTAATGCGATAGTACAAATTCGCATTGCGATTTTTCAAAATCGCAACGCGAATATGAAAATCGCAACGCGAACACATAAATCGCAACGCGTATCCGTAAATCGCAACGTGTATCCGTAAATCGCAACGCGTATGGGTAAATCGCAATGCGTATCCGTATATCGCAACGCGTATCCGTAAATCGCAACGATAATCCGTAAATCGCAACGAGAATCTGTAAATCGCAACGATAATCCGTAAATCGCAACGAGAATCTGTAAATCACAACACTGAAATTTTGGGTATATAACACTGAAATCATAAACTAAATCCCTAAATCGCAACTCATTCCATCTCCATCTATCACTCTCTCCGGCGACATCCGTTCCTATATCCAACGACATCCTTCCCAATCCGGCAACAGGTTTTAGTTTCGCAGCTCGTCTGTTTAGTAAATTAATTTACAACCATGAAATCATCTAATGTTGATCATGTTTGGATAGATTTGTGTTTTGGAGGGTCATGGGATAATGTTCATGGTGTTTTACAATATATGCCTTTACCCATGAATCTTCAACTAAAATTGTCTTTACAAAAGTTAACTTATGAAACTCTAATGCTACGTGTTTCAAATAAATTGAATTTAGAGCCCTAAGTGGATTTAGGCTATCTTATCAGAGAAATGGTAAAGTTTATTTGTTAACCGACAATGAAGATGTTGAACGATTCATTGCTTACATTAGTGTTTCACAAGATGATGTTACATTGTATGTTGTTGAACCTAGAAGTAGTATTGTTGGGTCAGTAGCGGGTAGTAATCAACTAAGTTTTTCTCAAAACCCACAACCTTTCTCTAATCCAAATCCCAATCAACTTTCAGCACCAAATTTCGGTTTTCGTATTGACCAGTTAGACGATGATGAGCCAACAGAAAAAATTGTGAGTACTAGTCAGTATTCGAAATTTGGTCTTGGTCAATATCCGGACTTTGATATTGGTCAATACACGGATTTTGATGATGTTTCAGAAGAAGAAACAGACCCTGCGTGTAATGATTTTGATATTGGTCAATACCCGAATTTTGATGATGAAACAGCCGTTGCCGAAGAATGTATTGTTGATGATAATGAGGAGGAAGTTACGACTGTGAATGAATATGTTGAACATCCATTCTGTAATTCATATAATCCTGAAGAAAAAGAAGAAGAAAAGTCCCCGAAGAAAAGAAAATGCCACGGGCGTATAACTGGAATATGCCAGAATTACTTCAGATACCGGAAGAAGAGTTGATAAGAAAGCAGTTGATTGTTACACAAAAGTTATTCGTATCAAGAAATGATTGTTTTGATACAAAGGAAGACTTGAAGATAGCTTTGTATACGAAATGTGTGGAAGATGGCTATCAACTAAAAGTTAACAAATCAAGCAAAGATCGTTTCGAAACAAGGTGTATGATTGACAAAAACTGTACGTGACGTATGATTGCAAAGAGAATAAAAGATTGCAAAATGTTTCAAGTTAGGACTTTTATTGATAAACATACATGTTCAAGAACCCAAGTTTTTCCTCACCATAGACAGGCAAACAAAAAGGTGTTGGGTGGTTTTCTGGCTGAGTTAATGTTTTTGAATGGTAGGGTATATCGGGGACATGAAATTATGACTGACATGAATGCTCGGTTCAAGATTAGTATATCATATTCTCAAGCTTGGAGAGCCAAATGTTATGCCTTGGAATTGTTGAGGGGTCGCCAGAAGCATCGTTTGCCCAACTGCCGGCTTATTGTCACAATTTAAAGCTGAAAAATCCTGGGTCGGTAACTCATATCAAAACAGATAGAGATGGATGCTTTGAGTTGCTGTTTATCGCCATTGGTGCTACGGTTAGTAAATCATATAATTTTGTTGACTCATTTTTGTTAGTTACATGCATTTCACATTTAAATGATTATTTCTTGTGTATATTATTTTGTAGATTCGTTCGTTTATTACTTGCATGCGCCCAGTTATTATAGTTGACGGAGCACATTTGAAAGGTCGATACCTTGGAGTAAACTTATTAGCAGTAGCCATGGATGCTAACAATGGGATATTGCCAATAGCTTACGGGGTTGGCAAATCTGAAACCTCTGATTCATGGACATGGTTTATGGGCATCTTAGGATTGCATAGGTCCTATTAGCAATCTGACAATCATATCCGATAGGGCAAACTCAATTGACAACGCTGTTAGAAGGTGTTTCCCAGATGCTTTTCATGGACTTTGTGGTGTTCATTTGTATAGAAATCTAAAATCAAGGTCTGCTGGTATAAAAAAGCACAAATGGACATACTGGAAGGCTGTAAAAGCTTATCGGGAAGTGGATTTCAATAAGCATATAAATTGTTTAAGACGTGTTTTGCCTCAGTGTGCTCAAACAGTAGAAGATGTCGGGTTTGAAAGATGGTCAAGAGTACATCAACT